GGTCGCGAATGAGGGACAGGCGCCTGCGCATACATCCGAGTTCAAGGCCGGCACAAATGCATGGGCATGTAAGTAGGAGGAGAGTGCGTATTGGAGTGTTCTTGACACGAAAGTAATCCCCCAAGGCACTGACCTGTCCATCTGCTTGACGCGCCGCTTCTTCATCTTGCGCACGACAGCCACAATGTGGCTCATCATGCTCAGGTCCGCCTGGTGCATGATGTCAGGCATGATAACGAGGTAGGGATTGCCCCACACGGTCCCTGGGACATCCCATTTCCAGAGCACACACTCGCGGAGGGGGTGTGGTGGGGAATGGTAGAGAAAGGTATATGAGAGACTCGGCCAACATGTGGGGCAGTGCAATGGCAGTGCACATCTCCCCCAGGGCTTCTCAACACGGAGTGCTTAGACAGGAAAGTAGCGCGGTGGACAGGTCGCTCACCTCAACCGGGTAGGTCGAGTAGGTCTTGCATGGGTCGGCCTGGCTTGATGTCAATCCAGCCGCCTCATTCACGATCCATTGCTGCTGTTCAGGCGTGCGCGGCGTGTTCCGTGCCTTGACAGCAACTAAATGTTCCTGGTGTAGCACGGGGGGTGGGATGGGATGAACTGGTAAGGGTGAAAAAATTAGGAGGTCCGTCATGTGACAGTCAGATGACGATGGCGATGAAGGCGTTCACATGGCATGTTTGCTCACCTTTGCAGCATAGCAGATGCTGCACGGCATCCGCGATCCATGCGAGAGTGTGCAACTAATCTTGCCGCTCTCGGGGTAGTCGCACACCCAGGCGTACAGCAGTGGCCGCACTGTTTGCCAATCACCGAAAGGGTCCTTGAGACGGAAGCCGCTGCAAGGAACGGGTAGAGTGGTAACGTCAACAGCCATGACGACTCTGTGCATCAGCGAGGAGGGGCAAAGGGTAATGCAACATACAAAAGCGCTGCGCACACTATGCTGTGCACACGGTGACGACATAGCATGACGGAAATCGAGTACGGACCTGTCCATGCCATCCAGAAGCGGCTGCAGCACGGTGAGGACGCATCGCTGGAAGAGCATCACCTTTTCAACAGCAGACATTGCCGAAGGGGGGATAGGAAGGAGAGCAAGTAGCGTGTGCCCGGCTTTCCCCCATCGCTTGGCCTGGGAGATGTTGGCAAGCGTCATCATGAGCGGCCACGCCTTCTTCCGGCCGTTGTTGCTCATGTGCGTCACATCCGAATATAGGATGATACCCCCCACGACTTCGGACCATCCGAAGTGTTCCTGCATGCACGACAAAGACGGAAAACCCCCACGGTCAAACACCACCAAGGTAATGTGTCGCCTGGCGGAGTAAGCATGGTACATAACACTCCCCACTAACATGACGCACTGAAGATGCTCCCTACACATCAGCGCGTCAACGGAGGACGGCGCACGCGTGTGGTTTTGGGTGGCAGCGGGGTATTTACATACCTGAGCATCGTTCCACCAGGTTCCAGTTTCTGGCGTGGTATAGCGACGCTCGCTTGTGCCATGGTCCTCATCGACACGAGCCTTGAGCTTGAAGCCGGGCGCGTTGCTGGTGTGCCCAAATAGTTCAGCAAAAGCCTGGAGTACGGCATCAAGAGCGGGGGAGAACCAAACAGGGGTTTAGTGGCGGGAGCGGGGAAGGGTCGGATCGCACACATGGACCAAATGGAGGCGGAATCTGCATTTCACAGCCACGCATCCACGGCCGGCTTACCTGCGCAGAGTTCTGGAAGAGGAGGAGTTGTGGAGGATGACCCTCAATCTCGAAGGTCGCCACTGACCATCCGCGATTGAGCCCTACCAAGCGCTCCATCTCGAACCTCTCCAGATCCTTGCAGTTCCGGATCTCTGAGATCACAAGAGGCGCAAGGCCGGGCTCCACCACGAGCTGAAGCAGGCCATTGATGTCAATCTCCGCCATGCCCATTCCGCCATTTACACGCCTCACGAAGTGCAGCAGCTTCAACGCAATCGGATTGAGGGGCGTCGCATTGCTCTCCCCGGAGATGATTGTCGGCGGGGCCGCGTGACTCACTCCAGGGCGGCACCCCGGATCCGCACTCGTGTCATCTGAAGGTGTTCCGGGTGGCGGTTGATGCTCAGATTCAGAAGCCCCCACGTTCCCAGCCGAGGGTGTTGCGTCATCTTCAGCTTCATGCACGTGAGGAGGACCATTCACAGCGTCGGTGTTGGACGCATTAGACGCGGTAGGTGAAGCGGGAGCAGCGGGAGCGTCCAACAGAATCTCTTGCACGAATAGCAGTGTGTGTAGTCCGGCGGATGGTGCAGATTGCGAGGGCCTTGCCAGGGCGGAAAGGCCTTGGCAAGGGGTCCGTCGTGACTTGTGACCGCCATAAACTTGGGCGTTGGGGAACCATCTATTGCAAAACTCGCAGACGACGCCAGGTAAGGAGCCCATGCGGTACGGATCTGTCTAAGTGTTGAGGAATGGCCTGCGAAGCAACGAGCGTCGTGGGAAGCTTGAGAAGGCATTGAGTACTCCGTGCAAGAAGGCTGGTAATGCAACACGGTCATCGCCAAACCGCGCACTGTTCAAGGCGGCTTGTATCACTGCACGACTGGCACTTGAGCGGGCAGCTTATGTTTGGACGTGCCTAACGATGTGCGCGCCGCGCGGTCGTGACAAGGCACATGGAGCAGCGGAGAATGCGCTTGATTCTAAGACGGTAGGTCTTGTGTGTGCGTTGCGAGCTCGGTGAGAAGGACGTGCCTGTGGATTCACGCACTCTTGGTGCGTGAGAGTCGAGTGGGATGAGGAAGAGCGGGAAGAGATCCGTTTGGATCTGTAGTTCAGTTGCGAATTGTTATACGGGGGAGATCGCGCTCACGTTAGTGAGCTCACAGTGGTGAGCTCGACAACGGACAAAATACAGCGCAGGATATTACATTGTACAATTGCATTTAATCTATACACTAAACTCGTTGATGATAACTACTACACGGTCACATGAAAATGCCTGCTCGAGATCCACCCCTAGTTGACAACGTGACATTCTAAAAACCATACAAGATCTCTAGTATGGTCTGGCAACATACGGGAAGTACACAAGAACTTCGTGCCCTCACGATAACGCATCGCCGATTGTGCGTTGTGGCTCTACTTCATACCCCTTTGAGGCACCTACTCGAATGTCCGTGCAAGGTTAGATGACAATCCAACACCGTACCACAACGGATTCGCCTGGTCGCGCAAGCCTTGTATGGATGCGAACGCAGCACCGTCGCCAAACTAAACAGCGATGTTGATTGCACATCAACGCTCGTGCGTTGGGCCTGTGCTCCATCCCACACTCTCAATGCACCTGGCGGAGGGGCCATGCAAGAATGGAGCCCCATCCAACACCATTCCACAACGGATTCGCCTGGTCGCGCAAGCATTGTATGGATGCGAACGCAGCAACGTCGCCAAACTAAATAGCGATGTCGATTGCGCATCAACGCTCGTGCGTTGGGCCTGTGCTTCATCCCACACCCTCAATGCACCTGGCGGAGGGCCCATGCAAGAATGGAGCCCCATCCAACACCATTCCACAACGGATTCGCCTGGTCGCGCAAGCCTTGTATGGATGCGAACGCAGCAACGTCGCCAAACTAAACAGCGATGTCGATTGCGCATCAACGCTCGTGCGTTGGGCCTGTGCTTCATCCCACACTCTCAATGCACCTGGCGGAGGGGCCATGCAAGAATGGAGCCCCATCCAACACCATTCCACAACGGATTCGCCTGGTCGCGCAAGCATTGTATGGATGCGAACGCAGCAACGTCGCCAAACTAAATAGCGATGTCGATTGCGCATCAACGCTCGTGCGTTGGGCCTGTGCTTCATCCCACACCCTCAATGCACCTGGCGGAGGGCCCATGCAAGAATGGAGCCCCATCCAACACCATTCCACAACGGATTCGCCTGGTCGCGCAAGCATTGTATGGATGCGAACGCAGCAACGTCGCCAAACTAAACAGCGATGTCGATTGCGCATCAACGCTCGTGCGTTGGGCCTGTGCTTCATCCCACAACCTCAATTCACCATGTTGAGGGCCCACGCAAGAATGGAGCCCAAGCCAACACCACACTACATCTCCATTCCAGTTGGCACTAGTACACGTCGTGCTTGAACAACTTCCAACGACCAGTATCCGTCGCCCATTCTCAATGTGTGCTCAGTATAGCATTCCATAGTCCACGAGTTGGAAGCACAAAGAGTGCGTCCTAAGCCCCATGCACTCACTAAACTTCACACCATATGACACCATAAACGGCTATTCACTTCAAATTGTCTTAGTTGTACTTTGCAAGTGTATTCAGCTGCTATGTTAAAATTTGATCATTGCACTAGGCACTGTATTTTGCAGGATGTGATGATTGGTGGTGTCGAAACGGTACTAGATTCCGTGGAGATTGATGCGTTGGCGCTGATTGGCCGACGCATCTCAAACGACCCTCCCCACTACCGCACCAGCCAAGCTGGACATTCGCCGCGGAAGCAGCGACTGTGATCAAGCGTGTAGTGCGTTTCTGATCGGGAGGCAAATCGTAGACCGTCCGATGGTGCGTGTTCTGCTTACAGTCCTCTCGATAGACTCGCAAACCACCCCAACTACCGTCGTGCCCCACTCACCAGCTTCCGTCACCCTCATACCCACTACCTTGACGCCGCTCGCTGCTGAACACAGGAGTTTCCAAATCGCCAGTTAGACGGAGTAGCGACGAAGGAAAGGGCTGATGCCATGTGCTTAGTAGCTACTAATTCAGGTGTAATTGTACCTTCCGATTTAGGGTGAAAAAGTATTGGCTTCACCGGGACGGGGTCAAATAGCAACAAACCTTTCCGTTTTTTTTTTTTTTAACTCAGCTACCCAATCCCGCAATTTAAAACTTGCATTCGTACCACCCTCATGACACCTGCTACTCGGCAAACAGAAAAGCAGAAGGAGGAGGCGAAACGACGCACGACACGAAGGATGTCGCATCAGACCGACCAAGAGGGTGGGGCCAGATCTAGGGCTACTAAAAAGGCCGCCGCGCAAACCAATCAAACGAAACGTGCGGCGGGGAAAAAGGCTGAGGTGGGAAAGCAGAAGCCCGGGAAGAAGGTGGAGGACAAGGGGAAGCAACCAACGGCACGCAAGCGTGTTTCGGCCGTCAGGAGCGATGCGGATGTTGCCACTGCTGCCCTCGAGCCCGGTCCTTCTGACGACGGCACCATCGGCGGGAACGAAGACCCTGGGCGTGGCGGCGTGAGTGTTGCCGTCCGGTCGGGGGACAGAGAGGGCTTTGCGACTGGAGGAAAGCACAGCGGCTCTCCCCGCCAAGATCAGGCCGCAACTTCGACGTCCGTGGCAGAGGCAAAGCAGCAGCATCTGACGCTGCCCCACCCGCCCGTGGTCGAAATATCTGCTGCAGTGATAGATAAGGAGAAGGATGCTGCGCACGATTGCACGGAGGGGCCGAAACACGACATTGCCGACGTAGGTGGATCTCCTCCCTCTGGGGGACGCGGGAGGCGTAGGCAGAGGAAGAGCGATGGTGAGGAGGAGAATGACACCCGCGTGGCTGAGGACATGCCCATACGCGCGAAGAGGAGGCAGACAACAGCCAGCGGTGACGACGCCGGTGGTGCTGAAGTTGGGACAATGCGAGGCACCACGGCGCCAAGTGGCTTGGCGACAGATCATGCAATGCGGCATAAGGTGGGATCCGGTCCGAGGAAACCATCTAGCGGACGGAGGGGGAAGCAATCTTCGGGGGGGAATAGGCTGAAGCGCGGCAAAGAAGGCCCTGGTGAAGCGGATGTTGAGGACGAGGGGGATGGGGAGGAGGAGGCCGAGGAGGATGCGGAGGAGGAGGACGAGGATGCAGGGGAGGGAGAAAAGGACGAGGATGAGCAGGAGGGCGACGATGATGAGGAGGAGGAGGAGGAGGAGGAGGAGGAGGAGGAGGAGGAGGAGGAGGAGGAGGAGGATGAGGATGAGGACGATGAGGAGGACGATGAGGGGGATGACGAGGATGAGGAGCAGGAGGAGGAGGAGGAGGATGAGGAGGAGGAGGAGGAGGAGGAGGAGCAGGAGGAGGAGGAGGAGGAGGAAGAGGAGGAGGAGGATGATGAGGAGGAGGATGAGGAGGAGGAGGACGACGAGGAGGAAGAGGAGGTGGAGGAAGGGGCGGATGAGGAGGAGGAGGAGGAGGAGCCGGCAAGGAAAGGACGGGGCGCGCGAGGCGGACGGGGGAGTGGCACAGGGAAGGTGGGGGGCCGGTCTGGACAATCCCGGAAATGCAGGGCGGGTGACGCAATGCGTGCCGGACCAGCGGGCAAATCGAAGGCGCGTAAGGTGAAGGTTGAACTTGACCGGGGTGGAAGGAAGCAAGTGAGACAGGGAGCTAAAGGCGATGGAGACGGAAAGGGACCGCGCGCGAAAGGGGTACCTGTGGGTTCGGCAAAGAAAGAACCTGCCCGTAATCGAGGCAGCACCCGCCAAAGCACACCGCGGAAACGGGGCAACGATAAGGAGCAGGCAGCAAAACCGAAGGGACAGCAACGTGGTAAGCAACGTGTCACAAACGACTGGCATAGCTGCCGCGGTTTGTGCTGAACAAACCCTAACAACACCGTGTTCCACCCGTCTTTTCCCGCCGCAGGGAAGGAGAAGGTTGACGAATCGGCTAACCCGGGTAAGGCGTGACTATACACTACAGTTCCGTGCTACACCCATGTTAGAATCATGCGGTTGCTTGTCATGTTTGCACGTGTCCAAATGCACCTTACAGACACTAGCTCCGTGCTCATCCTCCGTGTGACTCTCAGCCCCCCGTGTTACAGGCATTGGGCCACCGGTAACCGTGCAACGGATGCAGCTAGCGAAAGGGGCCGGAAGAGCGAGTGTGGCACCGCTATCCACAGGAGGACCAAGGTTCTTCACGCCATACTCCGGCCCGAGCAAAGTCGCTGCGACTGCACCCGGCGCGGCAACAGGCGAGGAATCCGAATCCCCTCCACCAGCCCCCGTCACGCACTCCCCACTCGCCTCTCCCTCATACCCATTTCGGCCACTACACGCTTCTCCAGCCCGGGGCAGGGAGGTCTCCCCCCTCGCCGGTCCATCGCGTGTGCATCAACCAAGCACCTTTGCCAATCCCTTCCCTGAGCTTCCCTTTTCCCGCCAGCGTGATAGTGTGAGGGCACACGGTGCTGCTGCAGAAGACGTTGATCCCCTTGGCCAGAGAGGGGTTTCTACACACCCTTTTCCGGATGTCATGGATGCGCTGGCTGAAGGTGCAGAGCACGGACAGTTTGTTACACGAGACGAGTTCCAGCAGCTACGGTCTGAGATGTACGCCATGTTTGCTCAGCTCGGCCTGCGTCGGGGAGCAACTGCCAGCTATGCCGGGGGGGGCGCAGTGGTGCCGATGGGTGGTACCCCGCCGCCGATGAGTGCCGTGGACAAGGCACGTGTGCTTGTGGTGCAGGAGACCAACCCATTCCCGGTATGTGGCGGGTTGGGGTTGACGTGGCAACCAGGGCAGGGTTGGGAATGACCTGGCGGTTGGAAAGGGTGCGCGGGAGCGGTGCAGGGCGACACGTGACTCCACACGTGGGCGGGGGCTGACGTGGCTCTTTCGGATCTCTGTGTGCGACGTGGCAAGTGGGTTGGGTTGGTGGGTTTAGACGGCGGACGCAAGAGGGTGTGACGTGGCGGGATGTGTGGCTTGGTGCTGACGTGGCACCTTGGAAGGGCACACGGGAGCGGCGCTCAACGAGGCGCCGCGTGTCAGGTGGGTGGGGTGTGACGTGGCATGGGGTGGGCGGGTGTGACGTGGCACGTGGGGCTGGCTGCTACCTGACGTGGCGGATGCAGGAGGGTGTGCCGTGGCGGGATGTGTGGCTTGGTGCTGACGTGGCGGCTTGGAAGGGTACACGGGAGCGGCGCGTGACGATGCTACACGTGTGCGGTGGGTGGCTTGGTGACGTGGCATGGGGTGGGCGGGTATGACGTGGCACGTGGAGCTGGCTGATCCCTGACGTGGCGGACGCAAGGGCGTGTGACGTGGCGGGATGTGTGGCTTGGTGCTGACGTGGCGGCTTGGAAGGGTACACGGGAGCGGCGCGTGACGACGCTACACGTGTGCGGTGGGTGGCTTGGTGACGTGGCATGGGGTGGGCGGGTATGACGTGGCACGTGGGGCTGGCTGATCCCTGACGTGGCGGACGCAAGGGCGTGTGACGTGGCGGGATGTGTGGCTTGGTGCTGACGTGGCGGCTTGGAAGGGCACAAGGGAGCGGCGCTCAACGAGGCGACGCGTGTTAGGTGAGTGGGGGGTGACGTGGCATGGGGTGGGCGGGTGTGACGTGTCACGTGAGGCTGGCTGCTCCCTGACGTGGCGGATGCAGGAGGGTGTGCCGTGGCGGGATGTGTGGCTTGGTGCTGACGTGGCGGCTTGGTAGGGTACACGGGAGCGGCGCGTGACGACGCTACACGTGTCAGGTGGGTGGGGGGTGACGTGGCATGGGGAGGGTGAGTGTGAAGTGTCACGTGGGGCTGGCTGATCCCTGACGTGGCAGACGCAAGGGCGTGTGACGTGGCGGGATGTGTGGCTTGGTGCTGACGTGGCGGCTTGGAAGGGTACACGGGAGCGGCGCGTGACGACGCTACACGTGTCAGGTGGGTGGGGGTGACGTGGCATGGGGAGGGTGGGTGTGACGTGTCACGTGGGGAGGGTCGTTGGTGGATTTGGCGGATGCAGGAGGTGTCAGATTATTATAGCTGATGCATGTTTGTAGGCTATAGTGGGGTAGCACATATGGGGTACAGTTTGCTAGGGTTGTATTTGTACCCAACTCTGACTTAGTCAATTCATTCCTCTGCTCATAGTTTCACATGGTATAGAGCTAGGTCCCTCCAGGACCGAATTTTTTTTTTTGGGCCCACCGAAGCGCGCCCCCCGAGGCGCGCCCTTTTTGTTTTAGCGACCCTTCGGGTCGCCCTCTCCCCTTACGCGGCCCCGCGCTGGCCCCTTACGCGGCCCTGCGCCGCCGGCTCCTACGCGGCCCCGCGCCGGCCTCTTACGCGGCTCCGAGCCGGCCCCTTACGCGGCCCTGGGCCGCCGGCTCCTACTCGGCCCCTTACGCGGCCCCGCGCCGGCCTCCTTCTCGGCCCCGCCGCCGGCCTCCTACACGGCCCGCCGCAGGCCTCCTACTCGGCCCGCCACCGGCCTCCTACACGGCCCGCCGCCGGCCTCCTACTCGGCCCGCCGCCGGCTCCTACACGGCCCCGCCGCCGGCTCCTACTCGGCTCCGCCGCCGGCCTCCTACACGGCCCGCCGCCGGCCTCCTACACGGCCCGGCCCCGGCTCCTACTCGGCCCGCCGCCGGCCCCCTACTCGGCCCGCCGCCGGCCTCCTACACGGCCCTGCCGCCGGCCTCCTACTCGGCCCGTCGCCGGCCTCCTACTCGGCCCACCGCCGGCCTCCTACTCGGCCAGCCGCCGGCCTCCTACACGGCCCTGCCGCCGGCCTCCTACTCGGCCCGTCGCCGGCCTCCTACTCGGCCCGCCGCCGGCTCCTACCTGGCCCTACCGCCGGCCCTACCGCCGGCCTTGTCCCGGCCCCGCCACTGCACTGCAGCCGAGCCGCCCAGCAGCAGCCGAGCCGCCCAGCAGCAGCCGAGCCGCCCAGCAGCAGCCGAGCCGCCTAGCAGCAGCCGAGCCGCCCAGCAGCAGCCGAGCCGCCCAGCAGCAGCCGAGCTGCCCAGCAGCAGCCGAGCCGCCCAGCAGCAGCCGAGCCGCCCCGCAGTAGCCGAGCCGCCCCGCAGTAGCCGAGCCGCCCGGTACCTGAGCAGCCCGAGCCGCCTGAGCTGCACGAGCAGCCCGAGCCGCCTGCTGCTGACCTACCCGACTCTCCCATCCCGGTGAGACTTTCAGCTGCTGCTATGGCCACCCCCAATGTTCTCACTTTTGACGCTGAGGGGAGGGCCATTGACTTTGCCGTCTGGATCGAGGATCTGCAGCTGTACTTACTGTGTGATGCGGTAGATGAGGTCTCTCTCTTTGACTTTGTCTCTGGCGCTGTCCCTGCCCCGCCTGCTGATGCTGACTCTGCCGTTCGCTCCAAGTGGGCGACCCGCGATGCTGCTGCACGTCTTGCTGTGCGTCGCCACCTCCCTTCCTCTGAGCGTGCCCACTTTAGTCAGTGCAAGACCGCTCAGGCCTTGTACGACGCTGTAGTTGCGCGCTACTCCTCCCCTTCCTCCGCTACCCTTAGCCGCCTCATGCTACCGTTTCTCTTCCCTGACCTCGCTTCCTTTCCCACTGTCGCTGACCTCGTTACCCACCTCCGCGCTAGTGACACCCGCTACCGCGCTGCCCTTCCTGCTGAGTTCCGCGCTGCGAACCCTCCTCCCATGTACATCACTCTCTACTTTCTCGTCACCCGTCTTCCTGAGTCCCTTCGTGTCGTTAGGGACCAGTTTCTCTCTGTCTGTCCCACCACTCTCACTGTCGACCTCCTTGAGGAGTCCCTGCTAGCGGCTGAGAAGAGTATTGTCGCTGTAGGGGCCTCTCGGGGTGACCCTCGCACCCCCATCTTTGAGGGGTGTGGTCCCTCCCCCCTGCTGCCCTCTGTCGCCTCTGCCGCTGCGGCCGACCTCGTTGGTTTTGAGTCGGTCGGCGCGGCGTCTGCCCCCAGTGGCAGACGCCGCACTGGCAAGGGCAAAGGGGGCAAGGGAGCGGGTGGAGCCAGAGGGGGCGGTGGAGGAGGCGGTGGGGGTGGAGGGGGGAGTGGGGGTGGCGGGGGGGGTGGTGGCGGGAGTGGAGGTAGTAGTGGCGGCGGTGGAGGCGGAGGTGGCGGCGGAGGTGGTAGCGGAGGAGGCGGTGGGAGCGGTGGGAGCGACGGTCCTGGTGGGGGAGGTGGCGGTGGCGACGGGGGTGGCGGTGGAGGCGGGGGTGGCGGTGGAGGAGGGGGTCGGAGTGGCTCGTCCCAGCGGAGCAGCTCTGGGGGTGGTCAGCGCCAGCAGCAGCAGCAGCAGCAGCCACAGCAGCAGCCGCAGCAGCAGCAGCGCTCTCGCACCGTCCCCGGCCCTCAGCAGCTCCGTGAGTGGTACTTGCAGCGTCAGCGCGGTGGTGCGCTTGGTCCCTGCCCCTACGTTCTTCGCACTGGTGACCGTGCAGGGGAGAGGTGTGGAGGCGCCCACACAGCCCGTCGCTGCTTTGGCCGCCTGACCGACGCCTGGCGTCAGCAGTTTCCGGAGGCCGCTGAGATCCCCCGCTGGGGAGAGCTGTCTAGGGCTGGTGTAGCTATTTATGATCTTGATTTTGATGCTATTCTCTCTGCTATGTATGCTGTGACTGGTAGTGATGAGGATGACTGTTACCGGTGTTTCCCGCCCGACCCGGGCATTGGTACTGCCGCGTCAGGTACTTGTGCAGCTGCTGCTCTAGGTGCCAGTGCGTCTGTGCTTTCAGGTACTGGTGAGTCCGCCCTCTCAGGTACTGTGTCGGCTTCGGCCTCTCACACCTTCACCCTTGACTCTGGAGCGTCTCGCTCCTTCTTTAGGGACCGCACCACTCTCACGCCGCTGGGTCGGCCGGTTGCGGTGTCCCTGGCGGACCCCTCTGGGGGGCCTGTCCTGTCTCGCTTCTCCACTGTCCTCCCGTGTCCGGCGGCCCCCTCTGGCACCCTGACTGGTCTCTACCTCCCCTCGTTCTCGACGAACTTGGTGAGTGGTGCTGACCTCCAGGATGCAGGTGTCCACCAGTTCACCCCTGCTCGTCAGCGGGTGACCCACTGTACGGAGGCGGATACAGGTCGCCACCTGGCTACGTTTACACGTCGGCCGGGATCGAGCCTGTACACACTGACCACTGCTTCTCCTCCAGGTACTGCGTCTGGTAGAGCCCCTTCGTCTGGTCAGGTGTTTGCTGCAGCGTCCAGGTCTGGTCCTGAGTCTGCCCCTTGTTCGTGTCGTCGTCTGTCTCACGAGACCCTCCTCTGGCACCACCGCCTTGGCCACCCCTCTCTGCTTCGGCTCAGAGGCATGGCCTCGCGGGTCCTTGTGTCTGGTCTTCCCCGGTCCCTCCCTCCCCTTCCTCCGGGCCCTGGCCCTGCCTGTGTCCCCTGTGTCGAGGGGCGCCAGCGTGCTGCCCCTCACTCCTCCCAGTTTCCTCCGACAGAGGCCCCGTTGCAGACGCTTCACATGGACGTGTGGGGCCCAGCCCGCGTCCGTGGACAGGGTCAGGAGCGCTACTTCCTGCTAGTGGTTGACGACTACTCGCGTTACACCACAGTCTTCCCCTTGCGCAGCAAGGGTGAGGTCACTCAGGTGTTGATCGACTGGATCCGCGCAGCTCGTCTTCAGCTTCGGAGAAGCTTTGGCTCTGACTTCCCTGTCTTGCGTCTGCACTCGGACAGAGGCGGAGAGTTCTCCTCGGCCCTCCTGAGTACCTACTGTCGTGTGCGAGGCATCCGTCAGACCTTCACGCTTCCGGACTCACCACAGCAGAATGGGATCGCTGAGCGCCGCATTGGCATGGTCATGGACGTCGCTCGTACGTCCATGATGCATGCGGCTGCTCCCCATTTTCTGTGGCCGTTTGCGGTCAGGTACGCTGCGCACCAGATCAACCTCCACCCCAGGGTCTCTCGACCGGAGACCTCCCCAGCTCTGTTGTGGACGGGGAAGGTTGGCGATGCGTCGGCGTTCCGGGTCTGGGGATCTCGGGCGTTTGTTCGCGACCTGTCTGCGGACAAGCTGTCCCCTCGTGCTTCTCCCTGCGTCTTCCTCGGGTTCCCCCCCGACGCCCCTGGGTGGCAGTTTTACCACCCCACCTCTCGACGTGTTCTGTCCTCCCAGGACGTCACGTTCGACGAGTCGGTACCCTACTACCGCCTCTTCCCCTACCGCACTCCGTCCCTCACCCCCCCACCCCCCCTCTTCTTGGTACCAGGTCCCCCCCCAGTAGTCCCCCTCCCCCCTCAGGGTCCTGCCCCTTCAGGTGTG